ATGAGTTGAAGATCTGTTCCAACCAAAGCAAGAAGTTGTAACATAAAAATACATATATCACTGACACTCGTAAAAAGTTGAAAATAAATCACATCAGACCTTCCAGCAGACGCCATAGAATGCGAGGATCCCTTCCTTTTCGTGAGGAAACTTGCTCGTAAGCTCAGCGATGAAATCATCGTATTCTCTATGAATCCGAACAGAAAGATTATTGGGGAGATGGAAATAGACAGTGGTAGGATCAGGTATAACCTCCATCTTACGACCAACTGCCTTCAATGCCTGAGTTATCAAGTTTAGGTTCCCCTGTTCTCTTCAAATTAAGCCATTATTACTTCAACTTAGGACCAAACAAGTGCGAAATTTTTGAATAAGATGATGAAGAAGAGATTGGTAAAGAAACAAACAAACCTTATCACTGAAACCAAACATGACAGAGGAGCCAACATCAAAAGTATAACCATCTCTTTCGTAATAACCAGAGCTCCCACCAGGAATCAAATACTTCTCAAGAACCAAAACCCTAGCTTCTTTAACAGCTAGCTGAGTCGCAGCAACCAATCCACCAATCCCAGAACCGATAACAATGGCGTCGTACACACTTGTTTCATCTCTCCTGGTCCCCTCTACGGTACCAACCACACTTGAAGAAACGGATTTCACTGTAACCACAGGGGGCTTAATGTTCTTCCGATTCTCTAAAATTCGACCATTAAACCCTAAATTCCAAGTACCCAGCTTGTAATTCGAGGTAATCAACGCGGAGAACAAACAACTACCACACTTTACGGGATTTTGAAAACACAAATTCATGGTTGGCCGACACTATCCTTGGATACTTGGATATTCCCAAAACCAATCAATTTATGAAGAATCGACAGCAAAATCAAATTACCTACCAACCATCATCGGCTAGTTTAGGCTAAGGGTTTTTATCCGAATTTGGAGATTTAATTCATCAAAACAGTATGTATATAATCAAATTTGGTTATAAATCCAAAACTCAAAAATGAAAATAATTATTTTAATAAGAGTTAATCAGAAATTTAAGTGTTAGATTTTTGGGTCATTTGCAAGAATAACACTTTTCTACTAAAATATTAAGAATATAGCACATATCAATTAAGTAAATAACATCAAGGGTATGGAAAATGACCAATGGTGGTGATGGTAATTTCGGCGATGGTGGTTCCGGCGCTATTCCGGCGGCGGAGGTCCCGGTCCGGCGATGGTGGTGGTTCCGGCGACGGAGGTTCGGCGGTGGTGGTTCCGGCGACGGAGTTCTGGCAGTGGTGGTTCCGGAGACAAAGCTCCGACGGTGGTGGTGCCGACGACGAAAGTCCGGCGGTGGTGATTCCGGCGACGGAGCTCTGGCGATGGTGGTTCCGGCGCCGGAAGACCGGCAGTGGTGGTTCCGGCGACGGAGGTCCGGCGGTGGTTCTGGGCTGGGGTGGTGGTGATGAGTAGTGATGGTGGTGAGGACATAATTGTATTATTATACTTTATACAGCCAATATCATTGTATTTTTTTGTATAGGTTAGTTTCTTAATTTATATTTTTTTGTTGGTTATAGATCCAAATTTTCCTAGATTTTATTAATGTGAAAATATATCAAATTCTTATAACACCAACTGAAGGACCAAATAAAAGTTTTAGGGATAAAATGAAGTTCCATTTAAAATTTGAAAAAACAAACAAACACATAAAAAACTTTTTAAAAACATGAATACTAGATCTACATAAGGATGTGAAAAAAAGGTAAATTATTAGAATTTATAACAACAAATGTGGGATCCAAAATCCGGTTAGTTTTCGTATCATTGTATAAATTTAGTATCCAAAATAATAAAATTAAAAAAAAAAACAAACAAACAAAAAAAAAAACTTTTTAAAAATCCGAATTAAAAACTTGAATAATAAATCTACATAACAATATGAAAACAAGTTGAATTATTGGAATCTCTAACGACTAATGCGGGATCCAAAATCCGGTTAGTTTTCGTATCATTGTATAAATTTAGTATCCAAAATAATAAAATTAAAAAAAAAACAAATAAACAAAAAAAAGCTTTTTAAAAATCCGAATTGAAACTTGAATACTAAATCTACATAACAATATGAAAACAAGTTGAATTATTGGAATCTCTAACGACTAATGCGGGATCCAAAATCCGGTTAGTTTTCATATCATTGTGTAAATTTAGTATCCAAAATAATAAAATTAAAAAAAAAACAAATAAACAAAAAAAAGCTTTTTAAAAATCCGAATTAAAAACTTGAATACTAAATCTACATAACGATGTGAAAAAAGTTGAATTAGTGGAATCTCTAACGATAAATACGGGATCCAAAATCCGATTAATTTTTGGGAGACTCACAAAAATGCCCCTTTTTCAATACCCCTTTTCAAAAATACCCTATTTGGCTGTCCATTTTTAAAAATACCCCTTTTTATGTACAAAATGACTAAATTACCCTTCTTTTAATAAAAGATATTACAAATATATAAGGAAATATAACAAAATTAGGTCCACAAAATACAAAATATTTTTTGGCGGGAAAAGTGATCCCTCAATTTTTCCCGCCAAAACACTTGTAAAAACTTGTAAAACCTTTAAAATACCTTATAAAATTTTCCCGTAAAATTATTTCCCGCCAAAAAAGTTTTTTTGCGGGAAAAGTGATTCCGTAATTTTTTTGGCGTTAAATTTTTGGCGGGAAAAATTTACAAGGTATTTTAAAGGTTTTTTACAGGGTATTTATAAGGTTTTACAATGTATTTTAAAAGGTTTTACAACGTATTTATAAGGTATTTATAAGATATTATAAGATTTTATAAGCTATTTTATAAGGTTTTACAAGTTATAAGATTTTACAAGTTTTTTATAAGGTTTTACAAGTTTTTTACAAGTTATAAATTCCTTATAAAACTTTATAAGTACCTTGTAAAACCTTTTAAAATACATTGTAAAACCTTACAAAACACTTGTAAATACTTCGTAAAACCTTTAAAATACCTTGTAAATTTTTTCCGCCAAAAATTTTCCCGCCAAAAAAATTTCGCCAAAAAATTTGCGGAATCACTTTTCCCGCAAAAAAAATTTTTTGGCGGGAAAATTTTTTGGCGGGAAAAATTTTTACGGGAAAATTTTACAAGGTTTTTTACAAGTGTTTTGGCGGGAAAATTGCGGGATCACTTTTTCCGCCAAAAAATATTTTGTATTTTGTGGACCTAATTTTGTTTCAAATAAGGGTAAAATGGTCATTAAAAATTAAAAGAGGGCAAACTTAAAAATGGACTCTCAAAGGGGGCATTTCTGAAAAGGGGTATTGAAAAAGGGGCATTTTTAACAATTTCTCTTAATTTTTATATCATGATGTAAATTTAGTATTAAAAAAAAAACTAAAATAATAAAGACGAAAAAAAGTATTACCTGGTTGGACATGGGTAGCAAATAAGGCCCATAAAAGAAAGCCCATTTCCAAGAGCAGAAGTGAGCCCACCGTTTGCCTCGTGACATCATCCATCATCTTCCATGAAACACACTGAGATTTTTTCTCTTCTGGTTTTTATTTGATCTTGTTCACCCTCTCAGCAGTGCCGGCTCAACATTTTTATGGGCCCTAGGGCAAAAAAAAATTTTGGACTCTTAAAAAGTTTTTTTAATGTTTTTTTGCTGTAAAAAAATTTTCTATGCTATTTTTGTTAAAAATATTAATTACTAATATTAAAAAAATAAAATAAAAATTTTATAGACCTTTCTAAATTTTATTTTTATGTTATAATCTAATTTTTTAATATTTTTTAAAAAATATTATAGAAAATAGACACCTTAATTATTGGACTACGGAATTGGACCCCTGGCCGTCGCACCGCCCGCCCACCCATCTGAGCCGGCACTGCCTCTCCGTCGCATGCATTGCTGATTCCCTTTGTGTAGTCTCTAATTTAAAGCCACTGAAAACTTCTTAATCTGCTCCTCGCTTTCTCTGGCCCCGATCTCTTCTTATCTTCTTTTTACATCCCGAGTACAACCGTTTCAACGCCGAAAGAATCGTCACAACCTCGCGAGTGGACTCGGTGAGTCCAATTTGAAACAAACACACATTCGAGACCGAGTGAAACCGATTCTACCCAACGGAAACGTATTCGTCGGTCGGTGTGCCATTATTTTTTTGATTATGATTTTGAAGAATGAGAATTATGATTTCTCAAAGAAGAAGAAGAGAGCAATATTTATAAGCAGAGGATATGACATTGTCTCAAAAAAAGAAGGAAATTCCTTTCAAACAAAAAAAGGAAAGTTGGTTGCTGCATAAAAAAAGGAAACTGATCATAAGGGTTAGAAATAAGTTACCGTTACTGTTTTTGTTTTTACTGCATAACAATTTATGACTCACTTGCGTTTGCTTGATTATACTACAGTTTGTTCTGTTGTGCTCTGTTTTTTTCGCTAGCCAAAATAGAAGACGAGTAAGAAGAATGACAACTATACCCCTCAAAGTCATCGCGTTGTATTGTATATACCCCCTCTTTGATTCTCATCATATCTCTATGGCACGAAAAACGATTGACAAGCTCGATCCAATGTTATGGTGAATCTAATTCTCTTCTCCATTATCCGCTCTTCTTCTTCTACTTCATTGCCTCGGTTATTTTGGTCTCATATGATTCTTTGATCATCATTATGTTCTGTGTATACTAACTACTACACAAGTACTAGCTTTGATTTAAAAATTAAAACCATAAGCTGAACAAAAGAAACATTGCGGCAAGATTTGTTAAGGATACAAAAATGGGTTGAAAAATGTGAGCCTTTTTGCCTTTAAGAGACCCAACCAAGTCGGAATAGCTATGAAAAGTTGAATGCAAGTTGGTTTTCTTGTTTGGTCCACCAAGATTCCATATGTCCAATATTCATGGAATCTGCAGAATATATCAAATGGTCCAAAAGCATGAAGCATCTATCTATTTATATTCAACGTCGAATAGACTCTCTTTTTAGCAACTTGTAGGAGGATCGTTGAGACCGCATCTTTGTATCTAAGAGAAAATAAATGGAATGATCATTTATATTCTTGGTCCTTACAATCAAAAAGGTAAAGGCTGCCGAAGAAAAGGTTCGGTCTCGTCGAATCATCTTGTTCATTTATATTAAAGTCGGACTTGGGAACATTTTCAACAATCTTCTTGTGATCTCTGTATGTGGATTCTGATTCTTCATTCGTGTTATAAATAGCCTGCAACTCTAGCTACTCCTTTCAATCCATATACTTCTTCTTCTTCTTCACCTTATTCAAGAAAATGGACAAAGTTATGAGAATGTCGTCCGAAAAAGGGGTGGTTATATTTAGCAAGAGCTCTTGTTGTTTGTCCTATGCGGTTCAAGTTCTCTTCCAAGATCTTGGGGTTAACCCTAAGATCCACGAGATTGATAAGGACCCCGAATGCCGAGAGATAGAGAAGGCACTAATGAGGCTAGGGTGTTCAAAACCGGTCCCAGCCGTCTTCATTGGTGGCAAGCTCGTTGGTTCGACAAACGAAGTAATGTCGATGCACTTAAGCAGCTCACTTGTTCCCCTAGTGAAGCCATATCTATGTTAAACAACAAACAAAGAAGGTGTTTATATATGAAATTAATTAGCTATGGATATGTCATTCAATAAGGAAGAAAATTGAGCCAAATCTTTGTAATGTGTTTTTTGGTATTATTATTGATTGTGTAACTTGGGAAAGTGCGTATAATTGTAAGATTGTTATATTGATTCGAAGGTAAAAACATTTTATGCTAATTGTAATGTGTTCTTGATTCGTATGCAAACTCCAGTATGATCCAAGTCAAAAACACATAAGAAGCAGAACAGCTACATAACTCACAAAGGCAGACATATTAAATTGTCTGCAACATATACTACTGTTACATCGCTTACAATCATTTTTCCTGTACAAGGAAAGAACAACAACAAAATCACACTGAATACTCAAACAAACAGTGTATGATTCGAAGAAAGTTGCTATCTAGGTGCAACGGAGGGAGCAATTCCACTGACAAGGTCAGAGCCGGAGACATCCATCGATGTATAAGGATGCTTCATGATTGAAGAATTCGATGACGATGATGGATGAGTCATTGTCTCAGACAGATCCGCTGTTTTGGCTACATGAGATTCCGGCATCAGTTCCCATATGATTTCCAGTTCTCTTACAACTTCCGCCATTGAAGGCCTCGCATCTGTCTCCTCTCTGCAGCATCGCAGCGCTAAAGTTGCAAACTTTTCAAGGCATTCGTCTGGAACTGAGCTCATTCTCTTATCCACGGCGGATAATATTGAACCAGACTCGTAAGCAATGTTGATCTGACAGAAACACAAACAATTATATATAACGCCTAAAAGGAAAACACACGCTGTTAGTATCTACTCAGAATTACCTCTCGAACAATGTTCTTGCCATGTGTGATTGGCTGCATTCCAGTCAAGAGCTCTAAGAACACTACGCCTAGACTATATACATCGCTTTTGTCCGTCAATTGATGAGTCAAGAAATATTCCGGGTCAAGGTAACCCTGCAAGTCGAAAAATAACTCTCAGTCATGAGTTTGAGAAAAAAAATTACAGAAGCAACGCAGGAATGAGATCTTACCGGAGTCCCTTTTACAACAGTAGACACGTGATGAGGTGAGATGCCTTCCATGTCAGGTACTGGGGCAAGTCTTGAGAGTCCAAAATCTGCAACCTTTGCGGTGAATCTGGAGTCCAACAATATGTTGCTTGCTTTGATATCGCGATGGAATATCGGGGGATTAGCTTCCGTGTGTAAATACAAGATTCCCTTGGCTGAACCTAAAGCAATTCGTAGTCTCATCGCAAAGTCTAGAGGCTCTTTTAATTTAACTGCCAAACACACAAATTTGTATGTAAATTGTTATTCATGAGAAATAGAGCCGAAATTAACTGTGAACATCGGTGGGTAGTCTTTCCTGATTCACATAGAGAACAAGCAGCACTATAGATGACTCAGTGAAGAGGCAAAACATACCAGAAATGTTGTCTCGCAAAGTACCATTTTCCATGTACTCATACACCAGCATCTGCACGCTTGACAATACAAGCAATAAGAGATATATATATATATATAAAGGTTTTGGTCATCAACCAGAAGAGGAATTTGGACAAAAGTACCTGTTCGCCTTCTTCATCACAGAATCCAAGCAACGAAACAAGGTTTCTGTGATGCAATCTCGATAACAATTCAATTTCAGTTAGGAACTCTTTCTCACCCTGCAATGATCCCTCTTGTGCTCTTTTAATTGCCACAACCGTTCCACTCCCAAGGGTACCTTTGTAGACCTTTCCATAACCCCCTTGCCCAATTTGAGTGGAACTATTAAAATTGTCTGTAGCCAGAGCCAACTCAGCATAAGTGAAGCTCTTCACACCTTCGATTTTCAAAGAAGCTTTGGAAGCTGCACATGGATGAATCAAACTTGTAACACCAAAAACCAAAAAAATATGACCACTACCAATACACAATTCCGATAAATAATTTACTCAGAGCACAAATTGGCATCCACAAGAAAATGCTTACATCGCTTTCTTCTAGCAACCGCATTGTATCCTCTCATACGTTTTCTCATAATGATAAGGGCAATGATAGCAGTTAGCGTAACTGCAGCTGCAACAGAACCAAGAACTATTCCCGCAACTGCACCCTTACTTAAACCAGATGGTGAAGCTGAAGGAAACACTGAACATAAAAAGCATGACAGTCAAAACAATGCCCATGTATGCAAAAGTTTTATCGCTTAGTAAGAACATAAAGGTAAGACAGGATCTATTGTTATCAGGGACGCTGATAAACAAATGACGCTGTTATGTTTAATGTAGCAGAAAGACGTCAGCTCGTTTACTTGTATTTTAACCAAGATCTGTTTTGAAATAAATATGAGAGGACGAATATTCTGCCACTAACCATCTCTGTAGACATCTAACAATGTGAAATTCATAAGCTCATAAGGACCAAACAGATCTTCGTCTCGGATATTCCATCCAGTGAACATGCCCCTTATTCGCCGAACCTCGCTACGATTGAATATGAAAGAATTGTTGGCATTTGAACCAAAAACAGGAAAGAACTTCAAATACATTCGAAGTCTAGGTCCTTTTTGCCACTGGAATGAGTCAAGGCGCAGCTGATACAGATTCAAACTAAGACCAGAGGTGATGTATTCCTCAAATTCGGATCTATAAGGAACAAAATCCGAGAAACCAGGACTTTTCAACCGATATCCAACAAGCAGGGGAGCAGCACAAAAGCACCGTCTAAGAGGTTCTGGTGAAAATTCATAAGGGGGTGGGCAGTCAGAACAAGTTGTAGTATAAGAATTGGTTGAACCCTGTCCCTGATTAATGTCTTCCTCAGTTATAGGTCCACACAATCGCAGCAGATTTCCATCTGAGCATAACGGATTCCCCTGAAGCCTGAAATAACAAACGATGTCAAATGATACCTGAAAAATGGACACTAATCTAAGGGAAGGAGTTTATCACATTTCAGAATGAGAAAACAAGATCCAAAAAGCAGTTATATACATCATTGAGTAGCTAGAATGATATGCAAAGCAAAAATAAGTACGTATGGGTAGCTAATAAATAGAAATAGGAAAGCGCAGAAGCAAACCAGACGGTCACATTTGGGCGGAGATCGGATCTGCCAGAGATATTTGAAAACCTATTGTTCCGCAGATCCCTGAAACAACATAAAGGAACTGACCGTTGTCAGGATATACTATAAAGAAATTTGGAACATGCTGCTAGGTCAAAGGAAAGGAGATATGATTGTTTTTGTAACAGTCATACACAATAATACTCTCGGTTGAATTCAGCTCTCTTTCCTGCCATATTCTAGAGGGAATGGAACCACTCAGAGCATTGTTTGCAAGCGACCTGCCATGTTAGGTAGACACAACAAAACAAACAATCAGTCATCTTCATATCCAAGATAGAACAAACAACAGCATCTCAGAAACCAAAAAACCTCACTACACCAATCAAACACACTTACAACTTTTGAAGCCGAGGAAGGCCTGAGAAATTTGTTGGAATGGTTCCAGTTAGACTGTTGCTGGATAGATCGCTGCAGTATTTTCATCAGAAGATATCAAAGTTAAAAAGCACTTCATTTCCAACCCTAAAAAGAGAATAATAATCACAGTACATAGCCCGAATTAAATCAAAGGCCAGAATTATGAAAAGAGCTAAAACTTTACATGGTTGTGATATTATCAGAAAGCTTCCCTGTAGGTATAGATCCATTTAACTGATTTTGACTTAGGTCCCTGGAATTCATGTCGAACAACCAGAAATAGATGAGGTTAATTCGCCAAGACAGTTGCACGACTATATAAGGAAGCGTCTAGATATGTTATCTAAGACTTACAAATAACCAAGGTTCGGTATACTGCTAAGATCAGGCACTGGCCCTTGCAAGCTGCAGTTCCTAAGACTCCTGCCCGTGGACATAAGACAAATATGCATAGGTTAGCATAGCATACACATGTATCTTATGCCCAAAAAGATCGAGAAAAAACAGAAAATAGACTACCAGTATCTCTACATTTAGAGTGAACTATCCTAATTAGCTCAAATATGGCTGATTATCATTCCCACAGGTAAAATTCAAACCCAATGCATGACTCTCATATTAAATTGTTGAATGCATTAACAGTAGATGACAGCCCTTCCAGCCTCACACTTCAGTGTCTTCAGATACATTATGAAACTATCACTTACATCTTCAAAAGTTTAGACATGTTTCCATAAGATTGTGGAATCGTAGTCCCATCAAAGTGATTGTTATCTAATTGTCTGCCAAAATAAACACGAGGAAAAAGGTCAAAAAAGAAAAGAAGAAACACATAGATCGCCAGTCCATATGGTGCCAGGACCAGGGAAATCAACAGAAACTGTGACATAAACTTACAGGATAAGCAAATGTGGCATGTTTGATAACTCAGGGGGTAGATAGCCTGATAAATTGTTGTTGTCAAGAAGGCTGTCAAAAAAAAAAAAGTAATGTTCATAAACATTAATCAGGTCAAGATAACTGATTTAAGGTGCAAAAGATAACATTTAAAAGTAAGAGCATTTAAGCCTGCCACTGCTACCAACTCACATGTGAACAATTGATGGTAGGCTTCCAATCTCTGGTGGTATCTGCCCGCTAATTGAATTATTGTTCATGTGACTGGAGAAAAGATAAGATGGACAAAAAATAAATAAATGTAACATACTCAAAGGGAGAAAGAATCACCATAAGCAAAACAACCGTGTCGAACTCGACACCAGATTAAAGAACTCACAAATGCTTCGTTTTGTTTAAGTTTGCAAACGATTTGGGAAGTGGTCCTGATATACGGTTTTCATCAATCTGTATTCTGTCCAAGTTTGGAAGAAACCCAAGCTCCTCAGGTAAGTTTCCAATTAATAGATTTCCATTCAAGAGCCTGGAAAAGTGTAGTGGTAGATCAAGTTAGCAGCCAAGACTAACAAATAAGGCAGGGAAGAAAACAAGAAACTCGTGGACTTACAAGAGTTCTAAGGACTTGATATTCCCAATTTCCTTTGGTATACTTCCGGTGATCTTGTTCCACATGAAACTCCTGGCATTAGAGTAGAAGTTGTACAATACACAAAGAAAGTTATTCACCATTTGGTATGACAAAACAGATCAAGCAACATATCGTGTTAAAACACGTACAGGATAGTAAGACGAGTCAACCGGCCAAGATCCG